CCCCCCCCCCTCCCCCCCCCGCATCCACTGCCCTTCCTACACCACAGCCATCCACTGCCCTTCCCACTGCCCTTTCCCCCCCGCATCCACCACCCTTCCAACACCATGTCCTCCCAGCAGCAGGCTGGGCTCCAGCACCACTGGCATAGCCCAGGCCAAGGGCAGTGTGGAGCCACGGTCAGCTTCCAAAGGATTCTGGGAAGAGGGCAAAGCTGCTACATTCCACCTGGAGCTCCCTGAATGGGAATGCTAACCCCTCTCATCTCTCCATGCCATGGAGCCATGCCCATCAGAGCTGGGAGCTCCTTGCCCGGCTCAAAGCACCCAGTGCTCCACTCCCTAACTAACAGCCGAACCCCCCTTACACGTCCCTGTTTTCCTCAGCTCCCTGCATCCTTCATTCCCTGCATCCTGGGAGCTCTAGTGCCATCCTCTGGCAGTGCTCCCGGCAGGTGCCTCCTCACCACAGCTCGTGCTGCTGGATCAGAGCAGTCACCTCCACCTGTGAACGCCACTGTCATCTCCTCCTGTGCCATCGGCCCCAGGCCCAGCACTGCCTGGACATGGCTGGGACCTGTCCTGAGCCCTGTCCCACCACCTCCCTGCTGAGCAACTCCACTGAAAACAGGCTAAGGGAGGGCCAGAGGTGCCCCAGAAACAAAGAGCCATCACAGCCATTCCCAAGGAGCTCTGGGATCTCCTTTTCCAAAAAGATCTTACTCCAAAACCTCCTTGAGTGAAAGGAGTTAACTCTCAGGATAGAGGTGTGGACATCCACAGTTTGCACACCACAGGCAAAGGGAATAATCTTCTCTGGAACAGATCATGGAATCCCAGACTGGTTTGGGTTGGAAGGGACCTTAAAGCTCATCTCATCCCACCCCCTGCCATGGGCAGGGACACCTCCCACCAGCCCAGGTTGCTCCAAGCCCCATCCAGCCTGGCCTGGAGCACTTCCAGGGATGGAGCAGCCGCAGCTTCTCTGGGCAACCTGTGTCAGTGTCTCACCACCCTCACAGGGAAGAATTTCCTCCTAATATCTAGTTCAAATCTATCTTCTTTCAGTTTAAAATCATTTCCCCTTGTCCCATCACTCTCTGCCTGTGTAACAATTCACTCTCCCTCTTTTTTCTAAGCCCCTTTAAGTACTAGGCTGTAAAATGCCTGGTGTCTTATTGCAAATACAGCAAGAAAATGAATAATGATAGCCAGGATTAATATGGACTTCTGGCCTTTCAGATGAGAGACTAAAGAGCCAAAACATCTCAATCTGAATCTGCTTCACTGCTTCAGCTGAGAGATGGGGAAGAGCAGGGCAGATGGACACCCAGAGCCCACTGCCAAGCTCAGAGCAGCAGCTTCAGGTTTTTGCGGGTTAGTTGCTGTGAACTTAGGTATGATCAGTTCCCAGGGGCAGCAAAAGATTTCCTGTTATTCTTGCAGATAATTCTATTCATCCTTCTGGCAACAAAACAAAACTAGAAGAAAGTTATGGCTGAGAGTGAGAAGCTGTTGAGGTTTCCTGTTCTTCACACTGGGACTGAGCAGTAAATGAGCTCTGCCGGGGAAGAAAGAACAGATAAACAATTCCACCAAAAAACATTTGGAGCTTTCCAAAACCAGATCTAGAAAGAACTGCATTCCTAAGGAAAACAACAAACATCTTTGGAGCCAGAACTTGCAAATCCCACTTGAATACAGTCAAATAGGACTTTTCTGTTACAATTCTCAAACACTGACACTCAAAAGCTTTTTGAGCAAAAGAGTAAGTCTCAAGCAGCTACCTGAGAGCTTTGAACCAAATATGAAATATCCTTGATGCAATATTCAAAGAAACAAGAGTGGAACTCCAGGATGTCACTTGGGAATTCAGCTTTACAGAAGAACGGGATTTTAATGATGTTATTTGAGGGTTTAGTTTTGCTAATCAAGACCAAGTGAAACATCTTCCTGGAAGAAAACCAGACCTCTGGTCTCTGCCCTTACAAAAGAAAGAATCATAGAATGGTTTGAAGGGACCTTAAAGCTCATCTCATCCCACTCCCTGCCATGGGCAGGGACACCTTCCACTAGCTCAGGTTGCTCCAAGCCCCATCCAACCTGGCCTGGAACACTCTCAGGGATGGAGCAGCCACAGCTTCTCTGGGCAACCTGTGTCAGTGCCTCACCTCCCTCACAGGGAAGAATTTCTCCCTGATATCCCATCTAAAGCACTGGCACTACTGTAGTTTGCTCATGAGAAGACCCACAAGGTATCTCCATGATGTCGGAGCTGCTGCAGTGCTGTAACCACAGGGTAAAACACACCAGGTCCTGGCTCTAGGTGAACTCACCTGTGTCAGCCACCCAGACCCAAATACAGGAGCACATGTTGGATATGGGCCTGAGTGGTAAAGAGGCTTCAAAACTCCTCCAACAGGAGTTGGGCAACCATGTGGGAACATTGAGGCTTTCCAAGCCCTGTGGCTGCAGCCAGACTGGAGATAGCACAGCAGCTCTATGCCCAACTACTAAAATCCCTCTTTTCCTGCAAAGGACAAGGCAAACAAAGAGGAGCACAACCATCCCCTTATATTCTCCAAATTAAACCCTATTCAGAGAAGGGGTGAAGAGAGGATTCTGCACTGAGACAGTAGAAAACTTGAGGCTGAGCATGGGCTGCTGTCCATGGGGAGAGCATGGCAAGCTGCAGCATTCACAGTGTGCAGCTGCTGGGCTGAGACACTACTCACATTGAAATGCATCCAAAAAAGAAAGGACACACAAAAAAGAAGGACACAGACATCGCCAGGGAGCTGGGAAGGTAAATTTCCTTGAAAGACATGACCCACCTCTTTGTAATGGCCCTTGTGATGCAGCTGACTGACATGCTGGAGCAAACAGTTCCGCTCTGCTGTGTGGAGCTGGTAAATGCTGATCAGGGGGTCGAACAGATTAGCTGGGCACTGGGCTAGGAGCTCCAGCACACGGATCTGCAGCTCCTCCAGCTTGCTGCCAGGCTGCAAACAACAGAACACATCAGGGCCAGGGTTAGTAAAGACGGTGAGTCAACGCAGCTGGAAATGCAGCTTGTTTAAACAGCAGGATAAGCCAAGTCCTTGGGAAGGGATTCTCCAGTTTCCCCACAGTCTGCAAGCACAAATCAGAACAGTGTGATTCACATTTTTTCACAGTGTCAAATTCAAAGGCATGGAATGTTTGCAGGATAGTTCTAGAGAAGGCAAATGGCCTCATGCGAAAAAGTCAAACGTGACAGTGCCTTCTGCACTGACACAGCTCCCTCCAGCTCCAGTCAGAAAATCTGGGAATCCAGTGCCTCCTGTCCAGGGAAATCTCACTGATCAGTCCTAACAATTCCATTTTCATTCCCAGGCTTGTTCCTGGGTGCAGGAAGGGCAGAAAAAGCAAATGTCTCCTCAAAAGATGCACTGACACAGGTATTAATCCCTGTGTTCCCTCATCATTCACTCATGACACAGGAATTTCAGTGCCAGTAGCACTCTGCTGATCCTGTAATGGCATTGCTCAACACCTAACCAGGGCCACTTGGAAAAATGGGAAAGGGAGCAACACAAATGGAAAAGTATCCTGCAGGTCTGAGCCAAAAGCTCACAAAAAGAGAAAATCTCAGTGGGTTGGAATATCTGAAGGCAGAAGGAATGGGAAACATTAGGCTGTGTGATCTGATGACCCAACATTACAGCCCCAATCACTCAGCTGCTGAAAAGGCAGACTGTTCCCATTTCTGCATTCCCACCATATGGCAGGAGTTAAGCAATCCTGCAGTAACTGCCTTCTACTGGCAGAGCTGCAAAGACACACAGAGCAGATCACTGCAGCTGGGTTTATCCTGACAGCAGGGATGAGAGCTCTGGTGGGAAAGCCTCCAGCCTGGAAAGGCTGCAGATCAACGCTCCATCAAAGTGGTTGGACCTGGAGAGATGGAAATCCCAGTTTGGGAGGGGAAACAGAGCTCTGCCATCACAGCTTCCAATATGATTTCATTTTCAGGCTAGAATGCAACAGATAACAACATCTCAGAGTGTTTCACACCTTGGCTACAGAGAAGACTCTGGAATGAAGTGAAGTTTGGGACACTCGAGGGACATTAAAATCAATCTCTCTCTCTCTCGGCTCTCTTGCTCTCTCTTTTTCTAACCTGTGGAACAGCAGGATGCTCTTTTATCCAAAGCTGCAGCTCCGTGGTGATGTAATACCCCAGGGAATGCCCTTTCCCCTTCCAATCACTGCTGCTCTCCAGCATGGCCAGGAGTCCTGCCAGTGGCTCCTGCAGTCCGGCAAAGCCCCTCCTGATTTCTTCCTTGAGCTGCTGAGATACAAACCCACATTGTCATGGACAAAAAGCTCAGTGAATCCTCCCTTCCCCCAGCTGAACACAAAGCTTGATTTTTTAAAATTTAATCTATTCAGAGAGGTAACTGTTGCTATTCAGCCACCATCCCTGCCTCCAGTGACTTTTCATGTCATTACAGATTCCTTCATGGCTCACTGCACCTCAAACCCAATGGGAAAAGCAGCAATTGTCCACACTAATTATCCCATAAAGACAGAGAAGTTGTTCTGTGGGGCAGACAAAGGGGCTTGGGATTTGGAGGAGGGGGAGGAGAGAAGTGAGCTGGAGAAAGGGGTGATCTTGGGAAAGTCGCAATGGTGAAGGGAGAGCACTGGGCTCAAAAAGTTGCTCATCTAACAGACCTACAAGGGGTAGAGTGTATGAATCCTCCTCATTCCTGCACCACAAACCTGCATATTTGACCTTACGCCCACCCCAGTCAGGATGGTGTAACTCTCCTCACCATAACCAGAGTACTTGGGAGTCTCAAAACAGTTTGGGTTTCACATACAGGATCAAAATGAAGGAAATATTTGACCTTATCTCCACTTCAGCCACGATGGCACAACCCTCCTCACCGTAACCAGAATACTTGGGAGTCTCAAAAGAGTTTGGATTTTACACACAGCATCAAAACGAAGGAACTATCTGAATCCAAACTCTGGCAGATTTGCCATCCCCCAAATCTATGTTCCTTCCCCAAACCCTCCTGAGGTATTCCCTACTGACTACCCACTGCCCCTGCACGTGGGGCACCACACACCTCTGCGAGGCTAAAGGCCCTACAAAGGGGCTCAGAACATGGGAAAACTCCATGCCATAAATCTTAGGAATCCCAGGGTGATGTGTTTAGAAATGTGAAGGAATTGGACTCTCACTTTGTGAATGTTAATAGGCTACTTACTACCCATCTGGTAGAAGTGATAAATTAGCAGTGCTGAGCAATATCTCGATGATGTTGACATTAGAAGGAGTTTCCAAGGAGCCTGGAGGGTTGGCAGGGTGAGGAAGTGGCATCCTCAGTACCCACACAGGACCTCTCCCTGCATGGTACATGCTCCAGCGTGGAGCAGGGCAAAAGCAGAGGCAAGAAATCCCTGAGAGCAGCTGCTCTCTTTCTTCTCTGGCTAAAAA